GCAGATGTGAGCCCCTCAGTACTGGACATAGTAGCCTCCAAAGCTGTAGGAAATGCATGTCTTTTCTTTATAAATGACCCAGTCTGTGAGACTCTGGTACAGCAGCACGGAACACTATAGCATCAGCCAACAGGGAGTTCTGTAATTGTCCTGTGGTTTTTGATTCTATACAAACAGCCCTCTTGGAAGATTTCTTACAATTCTTAAGATTTCTATTTACCAAACTTGATAAGAAGCCACATATAATCATTCCGATTGGGAGAGGGATCCACATGTTTACACACCCATTCACATAGACTCAGAGGGCTGTGTTTTTAAGGAAGACTTCCAAAAGTACATAAGCCTAAGGAGCCATGGCAGATACAGATACACAAACCTACATGCAGAAAACTTTCCCCATGATTCAGAACCACAATCTCAGAGGGAAAAAAATGCTGCCGGTCTCAGCATGCCCACACTGCCTGATTAAGTTTGATGATGTCAGCGGTGACATGGACAAGGCATCCGCATGTGCAGAAGCCAGGCAGGGGTGTCCGAGAGAGGTGGGCAAGAGGCAGCCAGGGCGGGCTGCTCCAGCAGCCTCCAGCCAGCAAGCACACCTCTGTTCCCTGACCCAGGAAGGCTGCGGCCCAACACACATCACAACCAGTTTTCCTGCCAAGTCTGGAACGCCATGATTCTATCGCCTTCTTTCTCCTTCAAAGACTTGGGGCTGTACTAAAGTTCAAGTGGCAGTGTCTGGCACAAAGAAACCGATAGGAAGAGAAATACTTGTTGTTTTAGATCTATACGATTTATTTTTCTGTTTCCTTAGTTCAAGCGATGCCCTTAAAGTATTTTGCAGGAGACCTTGGGAAACATGAACATACTCCAAGTCAGGGCAACTTTATTATAGGTCTGCAGCTTCACTTCCGAGCTCCGTGGAAAAGCACGGTGTGAAACCGCGCAAGCGTAATCCCCTGACTGCTGGCTCTGTGCCACTCTCCGTCTGTACATGTACTCCCTTTGTAACCTGAGAAACCCCGCTAATAAATAAGCCCCACCAGGCACCCTCATTTCAGGGGAAGAAACATGGGAAACGTCCATTCATCAATTCCGTTCTGGCTTACTGTACATTTGGAAGGAGTCATCACCGTTTGTTGGTCAGCAGAGCACTCTGTTCTGGCCTCCTGGGGAGGACAGTTGGAAAACTGCTGCTGCAGAATTTATCTCTGTTACTTAAGAGATCACCGCTCATCTTCCTGCTAACTGTCTCTGGGCCCTGAGTACTAGACAGCACAAGGCATTCGAAAGAACCTGGTGCGCCCACACTCCTATTAAATATAGTTAAGGCATTAAGCTGACTTCCCCTTAAACTGGCATTCTGAGTATTCAGATTTCGGGATGATTCATTCACTCGCACCGTTTTACTAAGGAAGTAAAGTCCAAATTTTAACCTGGCGCAGCTGCAAGCACACATGGAAGAAAAAAAGTAAGCAGGTAGTCACCCCAAGGCTGGAAAACTCAGGCTGAGGCAGCTCAGAACATTCCCCTGAGCCCTTCCCAGGCTGGGTCGCCCCAGTGTGCAGCTGTCCTGGCTGCAGAACATCTGTCCGTCACGTGCCAGTCACACTCTCACCCTACTGTGACCAAAGACATCCAGGCCCACGATTGGGAGGGAGACAGCAGGGGTAAAACGGGCGAGGGGCCATCCAGGTGTCCCCAGGGGTAATCTCTTCCAGCACCTCAAGGTCAGGACCAGTCAACCCACCCCATTCTGGGAGGCGAACAGCCCACATCAGCCGCTACCACACCCAGCCCAACCAGACAAGTGCCTACCTGGTGATCTCACAAGTTCACATCAATGTGGTTGGAGAGCAGGAATGAATTCTAAGCGAAACATTTATTAAAAGAAAAAAAAAAGGGGGGGGGGAGAAGTTTTAAGACAATAAAAGCACAAAGAAAAGCTAAGTGCTTTTCTAGACTTCCAGGCAAACTATCTGAAGATGGCAAATTGGCTTTTTCTCCTCTGCCAACTCCAGCCAACAGGTAATGGCTGCCACGGCCCACAATGTGCAGGGTTCGGGGCTGACCGTGAGCTATCCGAACAGGAGCAAGGGAGTCGGACAGGACCGCCTCCCACCCACCCTCCTAGCGCTCAGCTTCCTTTGTATTCAAAATAAAGGCCACAAAATTTGGCTTTCGTAAGACATTTTACAAAAATGAAACAGCCAGGCCTTCACAGAGCCACCAAGCTTATCTCATCGAAAGAGATAAAGGGGGGTAGAAAAAACAATTTGATGAAACTGCCCTACTTACAAATCAGCTCTAGATTCTCAGCTTCCAGGGGATTCAACCCAGGGGATTCAGGCTCTCTGAACTAGCACAGCCCAGAGGCCTTTCACAATCCACCCGCTCTCGCAGGCTCCCTGCACCCCTCGCCTCTCTCCGTAGGGCTCTTGGCCATGAGGTGCCTGAGTTCTCAGCCTGCCTCCTCCCCACCACAACTCTGTTGCAAAGTGGCCTCTTCTGTGATGCTTCGCTTGCTCCTTGGAGCTTGCCAGCAGCTTCACTGAGAGCCTACCAGACACGCAACATCCTGGGCCCCCTCCAGCTCTATCCAGTCGCCCATTTGCTTTATAACAGGATCCCAGGGTGAGTTGCGTGCATGTTAACATGAGAGAAGGGCTGTCTGAGGGACTCTGCCTGGCCCTATGAGAGGTAGCTCTTTGTGGGCATGGAGTGTCTTCCCCAAAAGAAAGGGCCTGGCACATGGCAAGTGGGCACTGTGGTGGGCTGCCTGCGAGGTAAGCCCTTCTGTAAATCACTTCCTCCACCAAAGTCGGAAAACCTTAATGCCAGCTTCTAGCACAACAGGCCATGTCGGCGAGATGATAGCAGAAGCCGGCTAAAGGGGCTTCTGGAAGAACCTGCACTTTCCTAATGACTTCCTGCCTTCCTGGCAGAGTGACTGGGTGCTGCAGCTGCCACCGTCAGGCAACCATGAGGTGACAAAACTGAGAACAACAAAGCAACACTAGCTAAAAATGGCAGACCCCAGAAAGGGACTGAGTCCCTGTGGGGCCCCCCCCAGTCACCATGGCCACCTTCCAGTCCCCTACTGGAGCTGATTCAATACGCAAGTTGCATAAGGCGATCCCGGTCGGTCAGGGATGTTTCTTCCTTGCAGTGAAGGCGTTCCTAATTGACTGTAAACAAAAGCGAGATGAAGAAACGAATGCAGAGTGAAATCAGGGTCAGAAGATCACATTAAACACACACACACACACACACAGCCTCTAAGAATCTGTTCACCTTTGCCAAAGGATGCCCATAAATCAATCCCTGCACTTCTGGAATTATTGACCCACTTCTGTTCACGGCTTAATGGATTAAAAAAAATAATAAGTGAACACACCCTCATAAAAGGCAATGGTAACAACCTCTAAGAATCTGTCCACGCTGGCCAAAGTATGCCTGCCCGTCAGGCTCTGCCTGTCTGGAATTGTTACCCCACTCCAGTTTACACGTTCCTGGAGGAAGAAGTGAAAACAATTTCATAAAAAGCAACGGCAATGTCCACACACACGGGACGTTTTCAGGAGAGAACACTCGTGGGAAGCAGACCTTTAGCCCTGTGAAGTGTCCACCGGCCTGTGGGGCTTCCAGAAGCAGAGGCTTCTTTGTTTAATGTACAATAGACAGCGAGCTGCCAATCTCCTCTACTCTCTTCTTTGGCCATCTCCTTATCTCAATCAAGTATTTCCATGGCAGTTGCCAAGATCAAACAGCAGAGCCCAGCAACATAAACAGATACAAACAAAATCTAAGTTAAAAACAAGCAAACAGACTCAGAGGAGTTGGAGAGCACTCGCTGGCAGCCTTCCTCCTTCCCAAACGCACGCTCTCCTGCTAAATCACCACTTCGGTTTTAATCAAACCTTTTACTTAAACAAGCATATGAAAACAAAACAAACAACAAAAAGACCTTGATAGCTCCAATGGAAGACCAGTGCCACTTGCCATATATGGAAGACAAGTTGAAACAACCCATAATAACCTTACTAAACGCTAGCTGTTCCCTGCCAGAGCCTCTCAACTTGAAGTTGCTTTATTTTTATTAGTTTTTGTTTTTTGTTTTTGTTTTTTTTTTAATGGAGAGGGAATGAGCAAGAGGTGTCAGAAGCAGTCTAACACCAACCCGGGCCTTCTCTGGCACATGATCCCGCCGGAAAGAGAATGGTAAAGCAATCAATTTCCTCCCTGTGAGATTTCACTGTCTCTCCCTGGCACCATATCCATACCCCATCTAAAAACAGGCCTGATGCTCTGTGAGACCACCTTCCCCTTCTGCCCAACACCTGAGCGCAGCCCTGGCCTCCCCACCGTCTCCCTCTCTGACACTGACGCACCCAGAGCCACAGCCCCCACGGAGGAGCAGCCTTCACCCTCCTCCAACCTGCGCCTGACAGGCGCCCTTAACTTGGAAAAATAGCAGCGTCCAATCCACAGGGCCCCAGACACAGCTGCAGCATCAACGTGCCTGTGGCCCAGGAGGTCCAACACTATCCAAGCATCAGTCTCAAAGTCCAAAATGGGTCATCATCAGTGTCCAACAAACGTTATCAGCTCACTAGGGAGATACCAAAAACCGGCCGGGTGACTTCCTGTGGGGTCACAGGGCTGCCTGAGGAGCAGTACCCCGAGATTTGAAAGCAGGCTCTACACACCCCACAAAAAATGCAAGTTCCGAGAAGCCAGGTGTTCTGGGTCCAGGCAGTCTCCCCTCTACCATGCCCATCACAGGGCCCGGAGTGCGTTTAGTAAGCGCTCAATAAACACATGGCGAATGAATGAACGAACGCACGGACCTCTCCTACAACCAACGGGATCTGTCTCAGTCTGTCCGAGCAAGCTCGGAAGTCACCCAAGCATTGATGCTCATCCCCCACCAGGGACTTGGCGAGCAGCACCCCTTCCCCCTCGTCCCCCGTCCGCCCCGGGCGCGCGCGCGCTCTCACCTTAAAGTCGCGGCTGTGCTGCGGGGTGTACTCCAGGGTCCAGAGGGCCCGCACCAGGTGCGCCAGCTGCTCCGTGACCTCGCCCTGGCCCTGCGCAAAGCGATCCGCAGGCTGCTCGGGGTCCGGCGAGGGCTCCGGCCGGCCGGCCCGGTACTGGCCGAGGGCCAGGTACTCGGCAAAGAGCTCGGTGTTGCTCAGGCACTGCAGCGTGGCGTTCATGAAGCACGTGTTCCCGTGGTTGCGGAGCCCCGCCACGCCGGGCACCGGCTCGGCGGTGGCAGCGCAGGCGGGCGGCGCGGGCGAGGCGGGCGGCGGCGGGCACGGAGGCGGCGTGGGCGCGGAGGCCGGCCCCGGGGGGAAGCAGCTGCGGAGGCCGCCGCGCTCCGGGGCGGCGCCCTCGGAACTAAGGTGCGAGAGCGTGGACAGCGTCTTGAGGACGCGGCTCATGAAGCTGCCCACCGAGCGCGCCGACGAGGGCGCGGCCGGCCCGGGACCCCCCGTGCCGCCGCCACTGCTGCCGCCGCCGCCGCCCGCGCGGCCGCTCCGGAACAGCCGCTTGCTGAAGGAGCGCTTCTCCTTCCCGCCCGCCGCAGCCACCACCACCGCGGCCGGCGGCCCGGGCCCGGGCGCCGTTACCTTGGACATGGCGGCGGCTGCCGGTGCTCATCACCGCGTCCGCCCGACCGGCCCACGGCTCCGCCACGGCCGCCGCCGCCGCATCCCGCCGCGCGCCGCGCCTCACCGGGGCCGGGGGATCGGGGAGGACGCTCGGCGCCCCACACACCTCACAGCACGGCCGAGCCAGCCGAGCCAGCGAGCCAGCCACGGCCGGCGGGCGGGCGCGCGCGCTCCGGTCAGCCCAGCTGGGCCGCTCACGTGATCGCCTCCTGGCACCGCCCGCCCGGCGCTGAAGCCACCGTGGCTGCCATGTTGACTACGGGAACCAGGTCTCCTCTGCAACTGGACGCCATGACTCGAGGCTCCGGGCACGGTCCCGCTGCGTGAAGCCTGTGGGAGGCCATGTCTAGTGTGGGCACGGTCCAGGCTTGCAGGGAGAGCGGTGGGCTGGATGCTGGTGGTGGTGGGGACCCTTCAGGGATCTGTGTCAGAATTTGGCGAGCAGATGGCAGCGATGCTTTGGAGTCAGGATGCCTTCCTTTACCAGAGTGTGAAACACCTGGAGCACGTAGCCGTCATCGATCCTGGGCAAGTCAGCGCCCGCCTGGCCCCTTAGGAACGGCATTGCAGATTCCCAGCCACCTACGCGCCCTCCCAGCGCTTTAACACAGCCACGCTCGGGCGGGGCGGGATGGGAACCGGGGCGGGAGGCGCGGGGAAGGGGAAAGAGCGCTTCCAGACTACACTTTAGGCTAAACGGTCATCTCAGAATCACATTCTCTTCCATACCAACCCCTTTCATGCATTCATTCAGTTAATCAAAAGTTACTTGTGCACCTGTTTATGTGCCAGACACTGTATGTGCTAAATGCTGGGATTAAGTCGAAGAATTAAAGTAGTGTGGTTTCTGCCCTTCTGCAGCTTATACTCTTAATGGGTTAGTTTTCATGTTCTACACCTCAGGCCGAGGGTGCCATATCGTCTTTCATGGTCAGTACCTCGAAAGATTGGTAACGTTCTTATCCAATTGGAACGGAAGTTGCTTTCAAAGTCTCACAACTTGACCTCTCAATCAAAGGTCACAGATATTCTGGGAACCAGATAGGGCATGGCCGTGCATCTTGAGTCTCACATTGACCTACTAACCTTTCAAGTGACCTGGGGAGGGGCTGAGAACCATAGGGACAGAGGTGAACTGCCGGTTATGTCCTTCGAAAGGGGCAGCTACCACTCAGCTGTAGTCGGTTGTTCCCATGCAGGAATGAGACCTCAGCACTGCCAGATCATCTGATTTAAAAAAAAAAAAAAAGTGAAAAGTCTATTTTTGAGTGTTGGTTCAATTAAGAAAAAATAGTACAGGAAAAAAGTGTGTGTGTGTGTGTGTGTGTGCGCGCGCGCGCGCGCACCACGCTGCCTTCAGCCCCCCAGTCCATCAGGTGTGGCCTCTAACAGGGTTAACCTGGCTGCTGCAGAAGGCAGGGATGAGGGAAGCAAGAGGCCTTTGAATTTTCAAATCATGAAAGCCACCTTACAACCACATTTCAAAGACGTTTACGTCTGGCCTCCCGCTCCGTAGCAAATGAGGTTCTTTGGTAAGCTGACCTCGCCAGGGTGTCCTGCACCTGTTCAAACCACCACCACTCCCACCTTCCGTTGTTCCCCGCACCCGGAGCTCCTCTGGACTTCAGGAGGGAGTGCCGCCGGTCATCCATAGCAAAGTGTAATCCCCGTGGCCTTCAACATCTGCAGGCATGTTTGCTGCTCCTGGTGGCTTGCAGTCTGTCACCTTGAGGACAGCAGAGGTTTCAACCCAGCTCAGATCCATCCTACCCATTATTGTGTCCCCTGTTAAGCAGCCGTCATATAGCACATTGACTAGTTGGTACCTCTATCACTGAACAACATCTGAATTCTTGGGTGGGACATAGAACACCCTTCTCAGAAAATTGGCTATTCCACCAGGAAAAAAAAAGTGGTGGGAGGGCTTGCAAGAGTCCCTAGTCAAAACACTCAGGTGATTATTCTTTGAAACTCACCCCCCATGCAACCTCCTGTAATAAATCTTCCACTTCTCTCTCTCCCCATTCCTTACTTCCAGACTAGAGAAACACGAGTCAGACATGACACCAATTTATATTTCTAGCAGTGTGACCAACTGGGTTAATATTATCTATTTTTCTTTTTTTTTTTTAAAGATGTATTTATTAGGCAGATTTACAGACAGAATGAGAGAGGGAGAGAGGGAGAGAGGGAGAGAGGAAAATCTTCCACCCACTGATTCACTCCCCAAATGGCTATAACGGCCAGAGCTGAGCTGATCTGAAGACAGGAACCAGGAGCTTCTTCCAGGTCCCCCACATGGGTGCAGGGTCATAAGGACTTGTGCTACTTTCCAGGCCATAATCAGGAAGCTAGATGGAAAGTGAAGCAGCCGGGATATGAACCAGTACCTTTACAGGATACCAATGCTTGAAGGTGGAGGATTATCCTGTTGAGCCACAGTGCTGGCCCTTGTTTCTATTTTTTCTTGTTTGTGTACACTTTGTATACATGCCAGTTAATGATAGCACTTGGTGTAGGAATTACTTTATTCCTTAATCTATACCGCCCATTGATACATATTTTTGATCATGCAAATGTGTTTTCCTGTCATGCAGGGAGTTTTAATTTCCTCACATAATCAAATAGAAGATCATGATGGTTTGTATAATGGAAGACAGCCTTTCCCACTCCAAGATCGGAAGAACGTTCAGCGGTCTGTTCATGTGATGCTGTGGTGAGGCATTTTCTTACTTTCAACGTTGTCTCCTTCAGAAACGTATTTTTACAGGAAAAAAAGAGGAGGGGGAGGTCTTCTGTGATTCTGTTATCATCTGTTTCCACTGCCACTTGGTCCCCATGAGGCAGGATTGGGAGGTGAGGGCCAAGGGAGGTGTTTGGGTCATGGGAGCAGAGCCTGTAGCGTGGGTTAATGTCCCACTCGCGTGAGTCCTCGCGGTGTTTATCTCCAGGACCAGTTGCCGCACAGCAGGTTCAGCTTCCGCATCTTCTGCGTTTCCTGCTTTCTCTCCCACTTTCTGCCACCCTTTGAAGCCACGTGAAGCCCACACCGGATGCTACGACCAGATCTGGGGGCTTTTCAGCCTTCAGATCCATGATCTAAACAAGCCTCTCTTTCATTCCTATGTCCCAGGAGTTCTGTGACAGCAACAGAAGACGGAATAAGGTGGGCCTTTCCCCACCATCCTGCTACTGGCCAGCCTTTTTTCTCAGTCCTGAAAGACTAGCATTCTCCTACTGCTTGTAGACAGCACTTTGTGCAGTGTTTTTTTTTTTTTAAATCCATTGTGTTCCCTTGGTATGTCACTATATTCCAACAATAGTATAAATGTTGACTATATTGCAGTGTTTGGTGGGGAGATACTTCCTAGTGTTTGCTGACCTTTTCTCTCAAGTGAATCTAATACTTTGTGAATCTGTCTAGATTAGGGGAAATGGGTAGCATCGCAATTGTTAGCTTCTTGCCTCAGGATAACATGTGTCTTTTTAAGTTATAGGACGAGTTCAAGCTAATATATTTGAGAATCAAAGAGAGATAATCAGGAGAGAGAATTAAGTCTCTCATCTGCTGGTTCACTCCCCAAATGCGCACATAAGCCAGGGCTGAACCATGCGGAAGGCAACAGACAGGAACTCCATACAGGTCTCCGTGAGGATGGCAGAGACTCCTACTACCGCAGCCATCACCTGTTGTTTCCCAGGGTACACAACAGTGGTAAGCTAGCACTGGGAGCAGAATCGGGACCCAAACCCAGACACTGGCGTGCCAAACATTCATCTCTCCCCACGGACTTCACATGTCCTTCAGAGTATGATGGCTTTTATCCGTAAGTCTTGCGTAATAATTTTATTTCTATTTGTTGCTATTATGAATGGGATATTTTTGTGCCATGATGCTCTCTGTCTTGTCTATCAGATAAAAATATCTTTGTAACCAGCCACGGTGATGTAGTTCAGTTCTTTCTCATATGATTTTCAGCTGCTTTTCTTGGGTTTTCTAGGAACTTGCTTCTTTCTTTTCACTATATTTTGTTTCGTCTTTATTTTCTCATGTCTAGTTGCCCCCTCCAGAATCCTGCGAATAGTAATGAGAAGACGAAGACCTGCGTTGTTTTTGACAGGATCAGCAAATGTCCCTGGTGCCTCACCATTAAGCACGGTGCTGGCCTTTGCTTTGCAGTATATATTATTTATTGCATTAGAGTGGTGCTCATTTATTCTAACTTCAGAAAGAGTTATTGTGAGAAATGGATCTCACATTTTATCAAATGACTTCCGGGCATCCACAGAAATGAACATCTGCTTTTTTTTTTTTTTTTTCCTCCTTGGACCTGGGTGCTCAGCAAACATTCATGGCTGCAGACCAAATAAACCTTTGGGGAGGGGGATTAATTTAAGGCTAATCAGCTGGAAGATGCTATGGCCTGAATGCCTATATTCATTTAAAGTTCAGATGTTGAGAATTGTAACCCTCAAGGTGATGGTATTTAGAGGTAGACCCTTTGCGAAGGTGGCTCAGTCACAGGGGCAGAGCTCTTGTGAATGGGATTAGTATAGTGCCCTTATATGGGACAGGCCCCAGAGAGACACCACACACTTCCCACCTGGTGAGGACACTATGGAAGGCACCCACTTCAAACTAGAAATCAGACCTTGATCAGGCACCAAATGTGACAACACCTTGAACATGGATCCCCAGTCCCCAGAACTATGGGAAATAAATTTATGTTGTTCTTATGCTATCTCATTTATGGACTGTTTTGAAGATCTATTCATTCGTTCGAAATGGAGAGACACACACACAAAGAGATAGCTTCCATCTGCTGATTCACTCCCCAAGCACCTGCAATAACAAGCACCCAGGCCACTGCTTTCCCAGAGGCATTAACAGGGAGCTGGCTCATGGAACAACCTGGACCTGAACCAGCACAGTGAAATTGGATGCCTGCATTGCAAGCAAGCAAAGACCCTTTAAGCCTTTGTGCCACAAGGCTGA